TACAGCGTTTACTTTTTTGTACCGTTTGGTAATTTTTACTTTTTTCTCCGTTTTTTTAATTATTTTAAAAAAATTATGTAAATATGACGAATAATTAGTATTATAAATTTGTAATTTTAACGAAAAAAAAATGAAATGTTTTAATATAATTATTTATTATTTATTAAATATATAACTCTGTATTATACCTACTGTATTATACCTACTGTACTATACCTACTGTATTATACCTACAGTGTTCAATACAATATTAAATAAATAAATATGTATACAAAAAAAAAAAACAAAGTCTGGATTATTATAGAAGGTGCTTGTATATACGATAGTTTACGATTTGAAAAATCATCAACAGGTTATAAAACAGCAAAGGTAAAAAAACGTGTGATGCGCGATGTCTGATAATAATAACAATTGAATTTCAACAAAATATCACAGCGGTGTATAGTCAAAAACCGACGACGGAAGAAATGACAATCGGCTGCCTTCGCTGAAATCAAGTTATGTGGAGGGGTAAACATGCGCAAAGGTGGCCCGTTCTCTCCTGAAACAGACTATAGAACAACTACTAACACAACGCTTCCAATGGGGCGTACTATAGGTGAAATTGAATAATACACATGGTTAAACATTTTTAAATTTTACTTTATGTTATTTTAATTTACTAGTGATTCAACACTTTGGATGTGTCTATCTGGATGAAAACTATTCTATTGGAAGTAAATCAGAACAGTTTAAAGTTGGTCAACAGAAGTAACCTAATGGGTAGTTAAAAAAATGAGCTGACTTATAATTCATCTGGAAAAAAGAAAAGGAATCAATTAAAATCTCGGATGCCAGTGAAAAATGTGTTAATGTTTCAGAATTTTTCAGTAAAGATAAAATTTGAACTTTAACTGAAAACATAAATTCAGCATATTAACATTTTGTCATAATTTAAATACTGTATGCATTATTTTAGATTCTGAACAGAGCGAAGAAGTCTATGGTTTTACAATATTTATTTTTTTTTTTCTATGGACAACTTTTCTACCAGCAATAATTTTGCTCCAATTTACAATGATATCACTTTTTATAAAAGAAAATCTGACTGGGGAGGTATTTTAAGTAAGACATTTTTTGATTTTCCTAAGAATTTACCCAATAAATTGGAAAAACGGGAAATGTATGAAATGTAGGTATATTAGTAAAAAAATATTATAGTCTTTTTTTTTTCCTGTGAATAACTTTCTAGCAGAAAATTGTCTTTGATACAATGACAGCATTTTTTAAAGGATTCTTATATGACTGAGCTTGTACTATAAGAAAGTTACTTTTTGATTTTTACAAGAGTTTTCCAATAAATGAGAAAAACCTGGAAAAACATGGGAAAACAGGAAAAAACTTAGGAAAATAAAAAAATAGTTACCTACAAGAAAATGTTTAATGCTTATTTAATTATTTTACCATAATATGATTTGTATATTGTTGACAAAATAACGCTATCAACTAAACTCCGCTCAGAATCATTAGCAATGTTTTATCGTTGCATATACAGATAAACATTAAATTCCGGTCTATTTCCTACCTTATTAACTTCCCACCTATAACAGTAGCTGCACCTATCCCCATTATACTATTAATTGTATAATATATCTGTCATTATTATTGTTATAAGGTAGTTTTTAAGTAAATACTGACATACCGTAAAACGGTGTAAATAGGTAAGTGAATTAACCATTCAAAATCGAAACGAAATATTTTGTGTCCTTAGCTTCTCTACATATTATACTCTTAACATCGAAACTTGTTCGTAGATACTAATGAATAATCGATTTGAACTTTGGTGTAGAGTATAGTACCTATTTATTGCTACTTGAGATGGTGCAAATTACATATTAATTTGGTTGCAAATGACGAGTGCAGTTAAAAGATGTTGGTGCAAATTATAAATGTATATACTTAAGGTTAATTCTTTTGCAAATTTGTACCCCTTGAATCAGGATGTTTATCAAAACTCGACCAAACCAAAGTTTGTGCACATTTTTACAAATCATTCGAGAACAAATTATTTCTCGTGCAACTACTAGTTTATGCCTACACTTTGCTTCTCACTTATACAGACTCATAAATGTCAGCGATTATTTTAATTTATCTGGTCAAATGTTTACTTAGGAAGCGTCTATTCAATTGTTCCAATGTAACTTCAATTGATCAACTCGATCGGTAGAATACTTTTTCCAAACATTTTTTATGAACTTGATTATTTGTGAAATTTCTTTTCAACGACAATTACTAACATTAATTTTTAATGATTTTAATTTAAGTTTAGTTTTAATCATAAATATTTTAATATCGGCAATATCATTGTCTGCATGTGGATAGATATTTAATAATATGTACCTATAGGTACTTATGAATATAAAGTATATAAATGTGTTGACATTTCTGTCAACGGGACGGGTTCAGCCACTGTTGTAGGTGAGAAATTGAGAAGGTAGGATACAGAAGGGAATCCATTGTATATCTGTATGCAACGATAAACCATTGCTAACTAAAGGAAAAAAAAATTTGAGTTGGTTATTTTTCCTGAATTTTTCCAAATGTTAAAATTCGAAAATCCTCTAATTTATTTTATTTTGTTTTTGATAACTGGGGACCTTTAACTACAACTGCAACCACACCAGAACATATATCTGAAGAAGTGCAAGTTTATCAAATAGTTTCGAACCAGACACTTCAAAATTAATTATAGACAATAATAGGGAGACGAATTTTAATAATATTCATAAAGAAACTTCTAACAATGGCACGAATGCTTTTGTAAATTTTGATGATTTAAGAACTATATAGATAAAATTCGATAACACAATTAATGACTTAAATAAAATACTTTTGGCAGATATTTTCTAATATTTTCTGATACTTTATAATACGTTCAACATTTTCGTTAAGTTTTGCCCTTATACAACATAATATTATAGGTAAATCAAAAACTGTAATTAAGACCAAATTTTTATTCAAAGCATTTGAAAATATTTTATTTTGTTTTTTTTATCTCCTAAAAATTAGCTGTTTTTTATTTCTTCTATATATTGTTAATCGGACTAAATATCTGTGAATAAATATTGTATAAATAAGTATTGCATAATATTATCTGCAAAAACTAAATTGGCTACTACCACTTCCACCACCCATGGGCGTATACAAGATGGGCGATAGAAGCAAACGCCCTCCCTTGGGTTGGGTTCAATCTGTTTCGTGCATATGAAACATATTTATTTTATTGTAATTGAACAAATATTTAAAAAAAATGTTATTATTTTGTGTGAAAATAGTTATAATATCATAATACAGTAATAATATACATTTTGAGGTTATGATTACGATTAATATTATTATCAATAAGAATATAGATAACAACATTGTTGATATAAAATACCACACAATGTGTAGACAAAAACAAAATTAAATTTCGGACCTTTTCTGACAGTGAACGTTTATCTTACGATTTATCAAATTTCGTATATAAAAGTACGAACCACAAAATTCAATTGTAGTATTTTGGATATTATACATATTATAGGTGCATACATATTTATGTTTTTTCAAATAATCCGTCAGGTTAATTCAACAGTAATGTGAGTAGATAGATATATTGTTTAAAATTGATAAGGATTTTTTTACCTTCAAATTGTCTAGTTTATTACATTAGTGGTTCTCTCTAACAACGGATTAGGAAACGAATGCCCGAAACTTCGATAATTATAATACTTTTTTGATAAACTCACGCATTCTAGTGCAGTGTTGTGTAGTGCAGTTGAACTGTTCGGTTTAATAATATTATTTTTTTTGTCCAGAACATAAATACGTCATTTGATACCGCTCGTCTTCATCGAACCGAAATCTCGCGAGGTCGGTCGATCGGTAAGTATTTAGTTTACATATTGTTCGAGGAACACAGGCAATCATTTTTATCTCGTAAATATCAGGAATATCTTTTGGTATTTTACTATTTACCGAACTATTTTGTAGTTATATATTAATTGAACTTTAAATTTTGCAATGCCGTTCGCTTTTAATTTACAATTGGTATTATGATTTATTAAGGCGTAGTTATGTCGATTACGTAATTTTTTTTTAATGCCAGACACTTTAACTGATATTTGTTCAATATCATATGGCAATATTATTTCTATTACCCACCTAAATATTTTGTAAATGCCTAATCGAAAAATAAATTATTTATTTAAAAGGTGATCTATTAAATTTCCTATGACGCGACGGTTTGATATTGTCGTATATAATCGAACTGAGTCCATATAAAGGAAGACAAGTAAATTTTTGTCATTTTGAATTTAGATTATAAATTTATTTGATATTTCACGCCGTATATATGATAACACTGTAATTACAAACGATCATATGTTAACATGCTTTTACCAAATGCGTTAGGGGACAAGTGAATAGAGTGTTTCGCGTAAGGTGACTGATCATATTATTATTTATCAAAAAAGCTTTAAGTTACGTTGTTATTTTATTATTTTCTACGATCGTCAGGAAATCGGTGTGAGGAGGTACTTTAAGGAGGTAAATAAATACTATCATGACTTAAGATTTAAAAATAAGAATGAATTCAAATGCACCACATACCTAGATTTTTTTTCCAAGATATTGTCTATAGATTATTTTTCTCATATCCAAATTTTAGCTAAGTTTTTTAATTCATTGTGTTTTTTTAGTGATTACTTTAGAGCTTTATAACTGTAAATTATAAATTACCGAAGCTGAAATCCTAATGTTGTTAACGAATATATTTATATTTAGTGCATATTTACAATGTAATACAAAATATTTCAAAAGTGACATATCCTTTTATTTGTTTCAATAAAATGAACACTTTGTGAAAAAAAAAAAAAACTAATATTCATATGCAAATTTAATTTTACAGTTTTATATTTGAAGAATTAATATTTTCATCTACGCCTTCGCATCACCGTACATTTGGCCGTAAAATAAGTACAATGGATCCCAAATTATTAATGCCATTTCGTTACGGTATGTGTATTTTATTGTTTATATTTTTTAATTTTAGTTTTTAACCATCTCCTCACAATCTCATCCAATTATTTCAATTATCTACTTTTTATTTTTAATTTCCTTTTTGTATTAATACTGATGTAGTATAAGTTGTTGAATTGTGATGAATGTTAAGTCATGTTTAATCATAAATTTAACCACAGGATATACATAAAGGGTGAACAAATAATGTAAGAGCGGGCCTTTCAGGATTTCATGTCTCTGCACTACATTTGTCAAACTCAAACATTGTTTTACACTTATAAGTTATTATTTTCTAGGCTGGAAAAGAGAGGTGGTGAATAGGAACGAAAACACAGGAGTCGATGTATACTACCACACACCAGATTATAAAAAGCTACGATCAACACGTGAAGTACTTAATTATTTGAATTTAAAGCAACGAACCCGATTAAAAATAAACAATTTCACGTTTAAGAGAAAACCTCTAGGTTTACCAAAATCAAAAGAAATATGCAGAACTGCCCGTACCAGTAAAGTAAGATACGTTGTTGACCATTTAATCGAATGTTATTAATTTTCATTTATATATATGGTAATGTGGTTTTAGAAAGTTGAAAAAAAACAAGATAGAGCTCCCATTGATAAAAATAAAAATAGAAGACCTCCAAGATTACCAAATACAAAAGAAATATGCAGACCTGCCAGTACCAGTAAAGTAAGACGTGTTATTGATCATTTAAATGAATGTTCATTTATACATATTGTAATGTGTTTTTAGAAAGTTGAAAAAAAACAACAAAGAGCTCCTAATGATAAAAAAAAAAAACAGAAACAAACTAAGCAGTTAGATATTAAGGAAGAAAATCAAACTAAAGTACAATCAGTAAGAAATTTTGTCTACTATCCTCTACTACAAGTACTGCAAAAAACTCCAGAATTGGATGACATTTGTTCATTTGAAACATTTATGTTCCATGAGTGTAAAGGTCGTAGATTTCAATTTAAAAAGGGATCAGATATAGACAACCAGGCCACCATAGCCTTTATAAATGATTTAAGAACAAACTATGGAGTTAAATATGGAGGAAGAACATGAAACTAATGTACAATCGGTAAGAAATTTTGTTAAAAATTTTATTCAACGTTGATAATTTTTGTCTCTATATATTGTAATGTGTTTTTAGGAAGTTGTAAATAATCATAATGGTGCTGCTATCGATAAAAATAAATATGAAGAACAATGTATGGAGTTAAATACGGAGGAAGAACATGAAACTAATGTACAATCAGTAAGAAATTTTGTTAAAAATTTTATTGAATTTTGATAATTTTTGTCTCTATATATTGTTATGGGTTTTTAGGAAGCTGTAAATAATCATGATGGTGTTGCTATCGATAAAAATAAATATGAAGAACAAACTATGGAGTTAGATATTGAGGAAGTCAATACTAATAATGAACTATCCTATACTACAAGTACTGCAGAAACTCCAGAATCGAATGACAATAGTTCATTTGAAACATTTATGTTCCATGAGTGTAAAGGTCGTAGATTTCAATTTAAAAAGGGATCAGATATAGACAACCAGGCCACCATAGCCTTTATAAATGATTTTATAATGAAAAATCATAATGCTACATGGTTTTATTCGGATAATGAAACTTTCACAAATGACGGGACTAAAGAAGCCATCAATAGCTATTACATGCAAAAACACTTCAAAAATAATTTCATTATTTAGATCATTAAAAACATATAAACAAACTGTGCAGTTAGATATTAAGGAAGAAAATCAAACTAATGTACAATCAGTAAGACATTTTGTCTACTATCCTCTACTACAAGTACTGCAAAAAACTCCAGAATTGGATGACATTTGTTCATTTGAAACATTTATGTTCCATGAGTGTAAAGGTCGTAGATTTCAATTTAAAAGGGGATCGGATATAGACAACCAGGCCACCATAGCCTTTATAAATGATTTTATAATGAAAAATCATAATGCTACATGGTTTTATTCGGATAATGAAACTTTCACAAATGATGGGACTAAAGTAGCCATCAATAGCTATTACATTCAAAAACACTTCAAAAATAATTTCATTTTTTAGATCATTAAAAACTTATAAACAAAGGTAATAAACATTTTATAAGTCTATATATAAAGCATAATTATATATATATTATTTTGATCTGATTGTTTATGGTAGTAAATTTTCTGAAAGTAAATATGACTGACAGGCTACTTTACGGCCTATTTTCCTAACAATTCTCAACTATTGATTATATTATTACAGCCTGAGTAATATATAATGGGTTATCTTAGTTTTTATTCGAAACATTATTTCTTTTTGTTATTTTGTTTGTGACAGTGGCCGTATGCTAAAAGAACAATTTTGTTGATTTATTTTACTTTATATTGCAATAGTATTATTCTTCAGGAACATTCATAAGATTTATTCATAATCATACATCACAATATATTAATTTACTTAATTCATAAAACAACAATGATATTTTGTCCCATTTATTTCTGACCCTAAAAAAAAAAAAAACAAAAACAAACAACTACATCCATAACTTTATTAAATAAATGAGTGATATCCTATCAATAACACTCCATCCAATAAATGTAAAAACGTTGCTTTGAAATTCTATAATTCATTAATATAGACTTTTTTTTACAATTTTTTTGTATTTGAAGAAGTGCAATNTTATTAAATAAATGAGTGATATCCTATCAATAACACTCCATCCAATAAATGTAAAAACGTTGCTTTGAAATTCTATAATTCATTAATATAGACTTTTTTTTATAATTTTTTTGTATTTGAAGAAGTGCAATAATTTAATATAAATAATTTAACTTAGCTTGGTGGGTACTTATAGTATGTTATTAAATAGTGTTATAGTAATATTAATAAATTATAAAATTGGGATGTTGATAAGAGCAAAGAATAATGTTTAATATAATTTAGCTAATGTGTTTTTTTAAATGTTTTGCAGCAAATGAACTTAACAATAGTTCATTCCAGGCAACCAAATTATTTGATTAGATTAGGGAACCCTGTTCTAGGGGAGTTGCAGCTCATTAGATGTTTCCATACTCCTGAGGATCAAAGAACAGAAACCGAATCCAAGAATTAACTGACTAAATAGTAAAAATCGGCATTATCTTAATTATATTTTTGTACATATGTGAATAATTTAAACAAACTAATTACAATGCAATTTTTATGAATAAAAGAATGATCTTTATTATAAAATATTCATTGTTTTAGATTAACTATTTACTCTCCTATTCATTAAATATCTGTAATGAAAAAAATTACTTATTATTATTTTGTTTTAAAAACATAAAGTTGATAGCAATCAAATCATTTATGTTATTAGAAAGTCAAGTCATTCTAATAAAATATAATAGATGATAATGGTAAGAAGACTTATTGGGAATTTATTTGAAACATTTAAATATATTTAAACTATGTATTAAACTATGAACAATAAATATTTTAAAACCAAATTCAATTCAAAGCATTAGTAAATATTTAATTTTGTATGTTTATCTCCTAAAAATTAGCTGTTTTTTATTTCGTCTATATATTGTTGAAAAAAATTTCTTTATATGAGAAAAAAATTTTGATAACACATCTGATGACTCATATGATAAACAAATCCTATCTGAGAGATTTTCAAGATAAAAGTTACATTTATCTTGTTTTTTAAATACTGACATAACTCAAGAAACACTGATGAACACGTCTAGAAATGTTAATTATAAATTCTATAACAAAATGTGATGATCATAGCATTGATACTAATATTTTTAACTGAATTTTATCATGTAACAGAATTGAAAAAATAAAAGCATTATTGTTTTAAAGTTCTTGTTTTTCTTAATTTTTCCCACACGTTGTTGGTATAATTGGGAAAACTGCCAGGATAGTGTATTTATTATTATAGAAGTATATATTTTTGTTTTATTTTGTGTTAACTTTAAACCTGGTCACAGTTTTTCTATTTCTTTAACTATCATATTTGTTCAGAAAGGGAGAATAACTATCCTTTTTTACTGATGAATTTATTTTCGATTTCTGGAAATGTTAAGAACAGTTGTATTTATATGAATAACCCATGTATTGTATTAATTATTTGCACAACAACTGAAATGCACAAATGTTAAAATTCGAAAATCCTCTAATTTATTTTATTTTGTTTTTGATAACTGGGGACCTTTAACTACAACTGCAACCACACCAGAACATATATCTGAAGAAGTGCAAGTTTATCAAATAGTTTCGAACCAGACACTTCAAAATTAATTATAGACAATAATAGGGAGACGAATTTTAATAATATTCATAAAGAAACTTCTAACAATGGCACGAATGCTTTTGTAAATTTTGATGATTTAAGAACTATATAGATAAAATTCGATAACACAATTAATGACTTAAATAAAATACTTTTGGCAGATATTTTCTAATATTTTCTGATACTTTATAATACGTTCAACATTTTCGTTAAGTTTTGCCCTTATACAACATAATATTATAGGTAAATCAAAAACTGTAATTAAGACCAAATTTTTATTCAAAGCATTTGAAAATATTTTATTTTGTTTTTTTTATCTCCTAAAAATTAGCTGTTTTTTATTTCTTCTATATATTGTTAATCGGACTAAATATCTGTGAATAAATATTGTATAAATAAGTATTGCATAATATTATCTGCAAAAACTAAATTGGCTACTACCACTTCCACCACCCATGGGCGTATACAAGATGGGCGATAGAAGCAAACGCCCTCCCTTGGGTTGGGTTCAATCTGTTTCGTGCATATGAAACATATTTATTTTATTGTAATTGAACAAATATTTAAAAAAAATGTTATTATTTTGTGTGAAAATAGTTATAATATCATAATACAGTAATAATATACATTTTGAGGTTATGATTACGATTAATATTATTATCAATAAGAATATAGATAACAACATTGTTGATATAAAATACCACACAATGTGTAGACAAAAACAANTGCATACATATTTATGTTTTTTCAAATAATCCGTCAGGTTAATTCAACAGTAATGTGAGTAGATAGATATATTGTTTAAAATTGATAAGGATTTTTTTACCTTCAAATTGTCTAGTTTATTACATTAGTGGTTCTCTCTAACAACGGATTAGGAAACGAATGCCCGAAACTTCGATAATTATAATACTTTTTTGATAAACTCACGCATTCTAGTGCAGTGTTGTGTAGTGCAGTTGAACTGTTCGGTTTAATAATATTATTTTTTTTGTCCAGAACATAAATACGTCATTTGATACCGCTCGTCTTCATCGAACCGAAATCTCGCGAGGTCGGTCGATCGGTAAGTATTTAGTTTACATATTGTTCGAGGAACACAGGCAACCATTTTTATCTCGTAAATATCAGGAATATCTTTTGGTATTTTACTATTTACCGAACTATTTTGTAGTTATATATTAATTGAACTTTAAATTTTGCAATGCCGTTCGCTTTTAATTTACAATTGGTATTATGATTTATTAAGGCGTAGTTATGTCGATTACGTAATTTTTTTTTAATGCCAGACACTTTAACTGATATTTGTTCAATATCATATGGCAATATTATTTCTATTACCCACCTAAATATTTTGTAAATGCCTAATCGAAAAATAAATTATTTATTTAAAAGGTGATCTATTAAATTTCCTATGACGCGACGGTTTGATATTGTCGTATATAATCGAACTGAGTCCATATAAAGGAAGACAAGTAAATTTTTGTCATTTTGAATTTAGATTATAAATTTATTTGATATTTCACGCCGTATATATGATAACACTGTAATTACAAACGATCATATGTTAACATGCTTTTACCAAATGCGTTAGGGGACAAGTGAATAGAGTGTTTCGCGTAAGGTGACTGATCATATTATTATTTATCAAAAAAGCTTTAAGTTACGTTGTTATTTTATTATTTTCTACGATCGTCAGGAAATCGGTGTGAGGAGGTACTTTAAGGAGGTAAATAAATACTATCATGACTTAAGATTTAAAAATAAGAATGAATTCAAATGCACCACATACCTAGATTTTTTTTCCAAGATATTGTCTATAGATTATTTTTCTCATATCCAAATTTTAGCTAAGTTTTTTAATTCATTGTGTTTTTTTAGTGATTACTTTAGAGCTTTATAACTGTAAATTATAAATTACCGAAGCTGAAATCCTAATGTTGTTAACGAATATATTTATATTTAGTGCATATTTACAATGTAATACAAAATATTTCAAAAGTGACATATCCTTTTATTTGTTTCAATAAAATGAACACTTTGTGAAAAAANTCTTTTTGAGTTTAAGTGTTAAATTTATAGGATATTTCACGCCGAATTTGATGATCATACTGTAATTAAAACGCGATTATATGTTACCATGTTTTTTCTAAATGCATTAGGGGACAAGTCTAAACATGGTTGCGCGCAATGGGACTGATCATATTATTATTTATCAAAATAGCTTTTATTTACGTTGTTACTTTATTATATTCTATGATCGTCAGGAAATCGGTGTGGGAGGTACTTTAAGGAGGTAAGTAATTAGTATCGTGACTTAGATATTAGAAATTTGAATGATTCCAAATGCACCACATACCTAGATTTTTTTTCCAAGATATTGTTTATAGATTATTTTTCTCATATCCAAATTTTAGCTAAGTTTTTTAATTCATTGTGTTTTTTTAGTGATTACTTTAGAGCTTTATAACTGTAAATTATAAATTACCGAAGCTGAAATCCTAATGTTGTTAACGAATATATTTATATTTAGTGCATATTTACAATGTAATACAAAATATTTCAAAAGTGACATATCCTTTTATTTGTTTCAATAAAATGAACACTTTGTGAAAAAAAAAAAAACTAATATTCATATGCAAATTTAATTTTACAGTTTTATATTTGAAGAATTAATATTTTCATCTACGCCTTCGCATCACCGTACATTTGGCCGTAAAATAAGTANTTAGTTTTTAACCATCTCCTCACAATCTCATCCAATTATTTCAATTATCTACTTTTTATTTTTAATTTCCTTTTTGTATTAATACTGATGTAGTATAAGTTGTTGAATTGTGATGAATGTTAAGTCATGTTTAATCATAAATTTAACCAACGGATATACATAAAGGGTGAACAAATAATGTAAGAGCGGGCCTTTCAGGATTTCATGTCTCTGCACTACATTTGTCAAACTCAAACATTGTTTTACACTTATAAGTTATTATTTTCTAGGCTGGAAAAGAGAGGTGGTGAATAGGAACGAAAACACAGGAGTCGATGTATACTACCACACACCAGATTATAAAAAGCTACGATCAACACGTGAAGTACTTAATTATTTGAATTTAAAGCAACGAACCCGATTAAAAATAAACAATTTCACGTTTAAGAGAAAACCTCTAGGTTTACCAAAATCAAAAGAAATATGCAGAACTGCCCGTACGAGTAAAGTAAGATACGTTGTTGACCATTTTATCGAATGTTATTAATTTTCATTTATATATATGGTAATGTGGTTTTAGAAAGTTGAAAAAAAACAAGATAGAGCTCCCATTGATAAAAATAAAAATAGAAGACCTCCAAGATTACCAAATACAAAAGAAATATGCAGACCTGCCANAAGTTAATAATTTTTATATTGCAAGTTAATAATTTTTATCTCTTTATATTGTTATGTGTTTTTAAGGAAGTTGTAAATAATCATAATATCTCTTTATATTGTTATGTGTTTTTAAGGAAGTTGTAAATAATCATAATTGTGCTGCTATCGATAAAAATAAATATGATGAACAAACTATGGAGAGTTAAATATGGAGGAAGAACATGANAAACCTCTAGGTTTACCAAAATCAAAAGAAATATGCAGAACTGCCCGTACCAGTAAAGTAAGATACGTTGTTGACCATTTAATCGAATGTTATTAATTTTCATTTATATATATGGTAATGTGGTTTTAGAAAGTTGAAAAAAAACAAGATAGAGCTCCCATTGATAAAAAAAAAAAACAGAAACAAACTAAGCAGTTAGATATTAAGGAAGAAAATCAAACTAAAGTACAATCAGTAAGAAATTTTGTTAAAAACTTTATTGGATGTTGATAATTTTTATCTCTTTATATTGTTATGTGTTTTTAGGAAGTTGTAAATAATCATAATGGTGCTGCTATCGATAAAAATAAATATGAAGAACAAACTATGGAGTTAAATATGGAGGAAGAACATGAAACTAATGTACAATCGGTAAGAAATTTTGTTTATTACATGCAAAAACGCTTCAAAAATAATTTCATTATTTAGATCATTTAAAACATATAAACAAACTGTGCAGTTAAATAATAAGTAAGACATTTTGTTAAAAATTTTATTGAATGTTGATAATTTTTGGCTCTACATATTGTAATGTGTTTTTAGGAAGTTGTAAATAATCATAATGGTGCTCCTATCGATAAAAATAAATATGAAGAACAAAATATGAGGTTAAATATGGAGGAAGAAAATCTATCCAATGTACAATCAGTAAGACTTTTTGTTAAAAACTGTATTGAATGTTGATAATTTTTGTCTCTATATATTGTAATGTGATTTTAGGAAGTTGTAAATAATCATAATGTTGATGCTATCGATAAAAATAAAATCGAAGAACAAACTATAGAGTTTAATATTGAAGAAATTAATGAAAATAATGTAGAATCCTGTCCCACAAGTACTGCAGAAACTCCAGAATCGGATGAAATTAGTTCATCTGAATCATCTATGTTTCATGAGTGTAACGGTCGGCGATATCACTTTAGAAAGCAAACAAATGAAGAAAGCCAAATCATCATAGACTTTATAAATGATATAGCAACGAAAGAAGAACAATAGCTATCCTGCTAACACTTGCTTGATCGCTTCATAATGAATTGAATTATTTAGATCATTAAAAATATATAAATATAGGTAGTAAACATTTTGTATGTCTATATATAAAGCAATATATATATATATATATAATTTTGCTCTGGTTTTCTATGGTTATACTTTTTCTGAAAGTAAATCTGACTGGCGTGGTACTTTTTTTCATATCAACTCCCAAATATTGATTGTATTATTACAGCCTAAATAATATGCAAAAGTATTATCTTAGATTTTATTCGAAACATTATTTCCTTTAGTTATTTTGTTTGCAACGGCGGCCGTATGCTAAAAAAAAAAATTATTTTATTTAAATCATCGTTATATTACAATAGCATTGTTCTTCAACAACATACAAAACAAATCTCGCGCGGTCAGTCGATCGGTAGTTATTTAGTTTAAATTTTGTTCGAGCAACACAGTAAATCATTTTTATCTCGTAAATATCAGGAACATTTTCTGGTATA